TTTTGTCGAAGCAATTCTCTTTGCCTGCAAAAAACATATTACATTAAGTTTGAATAATGACATGGGTAGTAAATTTGATTCCTTTGACTGTAACATGTGTGCATACCTGTTTTAGTAGCGGAGTATATATTCTCTATAGGGAAGACTCCGCCGAGGCCAAACAGCAACACTTTAGCCAGCGCTGGCACCAGCTGGGTTGTTGTTACCAGCACATTCACGCAGTTCTCTCTAAAACAGGCATTAACACAGCTTATGACTAGTTTCTCAAGTGTACTGGAATGGGAAAGTATAGTCTAAAGCAAGAAAGTATATGTCAATTAAAAAAAAAATGAAATTGTTGACATTCTACATAACAAAGTATTTACATTTTATTATTTTAGTATAGTTTATATGTACCTGGAATTGATCATGTTAAGGCACTTGCATGCCAGTGTAAGCCAGTTGTCAGTGGCCTGTTCCAGCTCCGCGCGCAGCTGCAGCCACTGCTCTCTCTTAGCTGGACCCAGCAGACCTCCCACACTACGATAAAATACATTGTTTCAAATAACCTGGTACAAGCAAAAGGCAATCTGAATTCGCCGAAAAGGCGAAGTGTCTGCATATAGACATCCGTAACACGTGCAATTGACACAAAGAGGATATTTCCCCTTCCTGTGTGTTTTCAAGTCAAATCTACTTTCCCTTCCCATCCTTTCTTCAAAGGGAATGGAATTAGGCTTCCTACACACATTTAACAGACTATACGTGGAATTAGTTCCACTTCCCATCTTTTATGTGGTCGTGGTATTGCTTATATTAAGCCATTTAATAGTTTTCAAACAAACTAAACATATGCTGTCTCTGTCTTGGTCATAAAGAGTGAAAAGGACAGCAATATATCAATACATCAACAGTCAAAAATCTATTATAATAAAATTGGAGTGTCTGTTTTGTTTGTCTGAAAATATCAAGAGAAAAATACCAGATTTCAGGAAGATGATGTATTTGCGTTGCTGATAACGAAAATCGAATTAAAAAAATTATCTGTCTGTCCGTAATCCGCGTTTGTTCCGTGTAATTTCAGAAACGACTGAGCTGATTTGGAGGTAGTAGGTAATTTTTTATCGTAATATTGCGTGCACGAAGACAGCCAGTTTTAATATATCAAACAAACCAAACATATGCTATCTCTGTCTGTCATAGAGAGTGAAAGAGACAGCAATATATCAATGTTACCAGTAAAAAACACAATATTAATAAAAACTCACCTATTTCTATAATTATTATATGTATCTTTTATCTTTCTGTATCTGAAAGCGAGTTTCCTCATCCAGTCGACGCCGCCGCGCATACCAGGAGCGCATAAGCCGGGCGCGGCCGCGTGGAAGCCGTCCGCCGCG